CGGGCCTCTGCCCGGGCCCCCTACGCCGTGGGCTCGTCCCCGGCGGCTGGCCTGGCTGGGCTCTGCAGCCCTGCAGCTGCGGGGGATGCTGAAGCCTCTGATGTCCTCCGACGGGCCAAGCAGGACCTGGAACGCCTGAAAAAGAAAGAGCGGAGGCAGCAGAGGAAGAGGTGAAGGCAGCTGTGTGTGATGTTGGGAAGGGGGAGGCTGCATATGACTCTGTCTGTCCTTGTGGAGTCAGGTATCCTGCTTCCCCCAGCCGTGCTCCAGCCAGAGCCCAGATGCTTGCATTCCCCTCCCCATTGTGCCTTGCCCTTGCTCTCCTTTCACCCACCACGCAATCCCGGAGGCCATTTTTCACAGAGAGTTCAAAAGCAGGAGGTGGAGGGGATCACACCTGTTCCCGGGCTCCCTCGTGCTGGGATTCACCAGCCCCTCTGCTCCCACCCCAGCCCAGAGAAGGAGGCGTTTAAGAAGCGGCAGAAACTGCAGCAGGACAACGGGGAGGAGACAGATGAGAACGAGGTGGAAGAGGTGAGTGAGCTTCCTGCTCATGCTGAAGGGTTGTCTGTGCTACCAATTGACAGGGGCAACAGAAATGACCCAGTCACCAACATAAAGAATCGGATTATTTTGCTGTTCGTTTTTAAGTGCAATTATTTATACAGTTAGTTAACAAAGCTCTAATATAAACAGCACAAACAACAAATACAATAAGCAAGGTAATGCACCTAATCATTACTACATACAGGAAATAACAGTGATTAAGATACATCACCAATTACCCTAATACTTTATCACCATCTAGACCCGCAGTTGCTGGGGAGCCCCTGGGTGCAGTGAGGGTTTGGAGAGCCTTTCCTAGCAATTGGGAAGTCCTGTGCAGTGTGTGCACTCAGAGCTGAGGCACCCCAAGTTGCTGCGAGAGGATTCAGTTTTTATGGGCCAGATCAGCAAGTTAAAAAATACTTGCAGTTTTCTTGTGGTTTGTACAGATAACACCTGATGGTTCTCCCCTATGACCAACCAAGGCTGGGGCTTGGCCAGAGCCCAGGACACGGGTGGTGGAGTTTCCTGAGGTATATTGCAGACAGGGCATGGCCTTGGAAATAATTCACCACGGGCTGCAAGGGAATCTTCACTTCCCCTGCTCCAGCGTGGGCTTTGCACAGTTCACAGCCTCCTTCAGGCATCCACCTGCTCTGCTGTGAGATCCTCCACGGGCTGCAGCTAGATCTGTGCTCCACTGTCGACTCATTAACAGGTCACAGTCTGTTCAACTCAAGTTCACACCGAAGTTCCAGCCTGTCCAGTTCAGCAGCACAGAAACAGCAGCAATGCCCTGGCCCTCTGCCAGCCCAGGCACATCCCCATTGCTGTTATCAAAGTGTTCTCAGGCACAATACAGTAAGGTGATAAGCAATACAGCAAGCAACAAAAGCAAAAGTCAGCCACTAATGAGCACTAGACTCTAATATACAGCAAAGAAAGCAAAAAGTGAGCCCCATGGCAAGTCTACTCATTGCTAGTTAAGCAGCATTAACAGTTATAAATTCAACCTAGTGCATCTCATCAAATCTGTCATTATCTCGAACCCTTTGTGCCTCAGGTTGGGCTCCACAAAGGACTGTTGTAGTTAGCCCCCAGCCAGCAGCTGAGCACCACGCAGCCACTCACTCCCCCACCAGCAGGATGGGGGAGAGAATCAGAAGGGTAAAAGCTAGAAAACTGGTGGGTTGAGATAAAGACAGTTTAACAGGGAAAGTTAGAGACAAATATACAAGCAAAACAAAATAAGAAATTAATTCACTGCTCCCCATGGACAGGAGGGGTCACCTCCAGGGATGCAGGGCTCCATCATGCATAACTGTTACATGGGAAGACAAACACCATCACTCCAAACATCCCCCACTTCCTCCCTCAAATTCATATTTTTTCCTTGTTACTTTATATAACACGGTTAAGATTTATCCCACATGTGGAATATTTTGTCTCCAGAAGCCAAATAATCCAGTAAATTTCTGTGCCTCATTTTTATTTTGAGGTACTGCAAAGTCCAAAATTTTCTGTCCAGCTTTGGGTAACATTTCCCGATGCCCACAATGCCGCTGATTGCCCAGGCATTTCACGGTTTGGGGTGGTGTTTCAGTAGGGTTAATTTCCCAGCCTTTCTGTTTCATATGATCCCCAACTAATTCAAGGACTTAGTGCACTTTGTCCTCGCGGCTTCCCTGGATCAGGATGTCACCGATTTAATGAATTATTTGCATCTGAAGGGGCAGTGTTATCTCCTCCAAGTGCTCAGTTCAGTGACAAATGGTTGCACTGTGCACCTACCCCTAGGGCAGTCTGTTAAACTATACTGTCGCCCCCGACCCAGCTTTGGGTAACATTTCCCGATGCCCACAATGCCGCTGATTGCCCAGGCATTTCACGGTTTGGGGTGGTGTTTCAGTAGGGTTAATTTCCCAGCCTTTCTG